GTTTAGGATTTGGGGATTTGGGGGTTAAGGGCATAGGGATTTAAGGGCTTTGGGGTTTAAGGGTTTAGCGGTTTAGGGTTTACGCTCCTCATCCAACTCCAGGGTCTTCATGATGCAGAGGATATCCTCCTGCCGGTTTAGGGTTTGGGGTTTAGGGTTTGGGGTTTAGGGTTTAGGGTTTAGGGTTTAGAGTGGTTGCGTCATGTGATGACCATGATCTACACTGCTGTGGTTTTGGATCTGTCTCATACGCACACCGTGTAGCACTTGCCTGAATGAATATACATCTATAGACATACACGCAGCAGAGATGGGAACGCATGGAAAGTGGACGCACATTCTGACATATAGGGTGTAGGACTGAAGAACCCCACAGGCTTAGAGGAGAGGACCGGCAGTTACCCTGGTTGCTACATCAACTTCATAACTACAGTCCCCTGTAACCTAGGAATAGAAAGGGCTCCCTTCTTGGTATTGGGTAGTTTTGCAAGGAACCTAAGACCACAAAAGGGAAAAATGCCCACAGAAAGACCTGGCTAACCTCCTACTCTTCATGCTGATGGAACCTCCAGCACAACCCGAGCCCTGCTTAAACAACCCCTTGCCCTAAACCCTAAACCCTAAACCACTTCGGCGCCTAAAGTCTTCGAATGGACAAAAGCCCAGGCTCCCAGGCCTCCGTAGGCACTTGAGGACCCGGATGCTGCATCACCTGGGCGATAACTTCCTAGGACGGTTTAGGGCTTTAGGGTTTAGGGCTTTAGGGTTTTAGAGCTTTAGGGCTTTAGGGCTTTGGGGGTTTAGGGTTTTGAGGTTTCGGGTCTAAGGTCTAGGGCTTAGGGGTACAGCGCTTACACCGGGATCCCCCAAGAAAAAAAAAAACACCACCTGCTTGTGACCCGTTTTGGTGCGCGGCTCAGGATCTCAAAGGCCCTAAGGCTTCGCAGTAGTATGGTAATCCTGTACGTGGGGGGGGGTGTAGGGTTTAGGATCTGGGGTTTAGGGTTTAGGATTTAGGCTCCCCGTGTAATCCGAAGCCAAAGCGCTGCTCGAGGAGCCGGATCCCCTGCAACCTAAACCCTGAACCCTAAATCCTAAACCCTAAACCCTAAACCTTAAACCCTAAACCTTAAACCCTAAACCTAAACCCCAAACCCTAAGCCCTAAACCAACCAACCTAAGCCCCGAGACCCCCAAACCCTACAGGCCTCAAGCCGTAGATCCCTAAAGGTTGAGTACAAGGGCCTTTTGGAGTATATTAAAATAGAACAAAGAACCCTCTGGATAATTTTGAGGCCTCTAGACTGATACTGTTCTTCCTTAGGTGGGTTCCTTATAGTAGTAATAGTGTATTCTACCCCCAAATTAGTAAGGCCGCTATGTTATTACAGTATTATAGCATATTCTAATTGCTGAAGCTCCTATATGTCTTCTACCTGTAGCATTATAGTATGCTTGAATATTGATAAGACTCCTATATTAGGTGCCTGGCATTAGACCCTTATAATAACCCTTATAGACTTATAGAACCCTTTAAAGGAACCCTTTAAAGGAACCCTATTCTGCTTGGCCCCATGTACGGTGCAGGATCGAAGTCTGTGGAGGCTCCAGAGCTGAGTCCTCGGCAAAGCGATGAAGCTCAGCTTGCGATGCAGGGCGACCGTAGTTCTTGTCCATGAAGGTGAGGCAGTACCTTTGGATTTGGGGGTTCAGGGGTTTAGGCGGCCCGATGAAGGTGAGGCAGTACCTGCAAGTAGACCGGAAAAAACTGACAAAATGACGGATCATGAGCCCGGGACTATGTAACTAGACGCACAAAAGTTCAGTTCTTGCAGCCACAGTTACTCCCGCAAAGTCTCCACCCAGCTGTAGTTGAACTCGCCGTCCTTGTACCAGGTGCCTGGCATGTGGCGACTTTCCGGCAAGCTGGGCCTGGAGTACTGGGCTGGAGCGGATACCTGACTTAGGGGTCCCACTCGACCTGACTGGTTGGTGGTTATATCACCGGTCCCTGGTAAGTATCTTCTGAAACACCAGATTTAGATCTCAGTGCCCAGGGACATTGAGGCTGTTGATGATTCTCCAAGGCAAATGAAAGCTCTCAACACCTTACAAAGCCAAAGAAGCATTGCACAAAGCCACGCCCAAACTTGCGAAAGGCCGTCAGCTAAATTCAAAAACATGAGTCTTGAATACTATCCCCGAACCCTGTGATTCAACTCCTCATGCAACCTGTTTCAAGCCCGGCCCTGCGCCCCACACCCCAAGCATACGTACCCCCTCCCGTGCCCCCCCAGCCTCCGGAGACCTCCAGGCTAGGCTCTAGGTCAATGAGCATGAAGACCTTTCGGTTCCGGTTCTGGACCTCGGCGATCTCAGATGTGCATAGGCTTTTTAAGGGGGCCTGTCGTGTGCGCGCTTGTTGCTACAGAGATTTATGATATACACAAAAAACCCTAAAACCTAAACCCTAAACCCCTAACCCCAAACCCCTAAACCCTATGTATACGTACAGTCCTAAACGGGTGCGGCTGAGTGTGTCTCTAGGGCATGGAGCGGCCCCGGCTCAGAATGCTCTTGACGGAGGCTCCTCTTCTGCTTTTACCAAAGGCTCTGTCGAAGCTCTCATTTTAGGGTTTAGGGTTTGGGGTTTAGGGTATGAGGCATCACGAAAGTGTTGCAGAATCCTTCTGTGGTGTCAGAAAGTAACAATGTACAGAGGGTCTAACATGATTAGGATGTGGGGCATGTTTGGCTAAAAGCGCACATGCCATGCCATGCCATGCGATGCCATACCATAGCTATGCCACACACCGTGCACACACCGCGCCGCACCGCGCCGCGCCGCACCGCACCACGCCGCACGGCACCGCTGTGCCATACCGCGCCGCACCACGCCATGACAGGCAATGTGTTGCGATGCGATGCGATGCATTGCATTGCACTGCCCTGCATTGCATTGTATTACACGACATTGGCGTGAGCTGCATTATCTTGCATTTGTGTTGCATGTATGTTGCATTGCATTGCATTGCATTGCATTGCATTGCATTGCATTGCATTGCATTGCATTGCATTGCATTGCATTGCATTGCATTGCATTGCATTGCATTGCATTGCATTTCATTGCATGGCATTGCATGGCATTGAAGTGGTTGCATTGTGCTACCTTCCGTGACATTGGTTTTATTGCATTACATTATACATGACATGGTATGACAAGACATGGCATGACATGACCGCACATTGCACACATCCGTACATACGGATGCACAGCACCACATCCATCCATCCATCCATCCATCCATCCATCCATCCATCCATCCATCCATCCATCCATGCATACACTGGGGTTAATGGTTTAGGGCTGCCGCAACTCTCGTCGGCAGTAGGTTCAAGGCATGGGTTCAGGAGTTGGGGTTTAGGGGTTTCGTGTTTCAGGTTTGAAGGCTTCCGAAAATCGGATGCATCCGTCATGTCATTGCGCTCAGGCATAGCTCTTGGGTTCAGGAATTGGGGCTCAGCGCATGCTTCTCAGAATTCTGAGCTTTGTGGTCGGGCTTGTGCAGATCAAGTTGCCGACTTCACTTCCTTTATGAGCTGCTGCTTCAGCAACTCCTTGATTGCCTGGCGCGGACAAAGGCCGTGAGCACCCGAGCTCCCAAACCTCCTCAAGTCCGAGGCCCGAAACCCAATGTAGGGGCCGCAATAATTATTAGAATCGGGTTTTAGGGGCTCTTTACTTATAATTATAGCATAATATACCCCCCGAAGCCCTATTCTGCCCCTACATAGGACTCGCAACCGGGGCCCTGGTTGTAAACACTCTGAATGAACACACAAGAAACACACAACCAATCAATTACTGTTGTTTATACGTTTGGGTAGTTCTCTAAATCAGGGTCCCTTTTTGCGGTCCCCAATATAGTATTCTACCCCTATAAAAAAAGGAAAAGGGGGCCCTAACTTAGAGAACTACCCATCTACACCGCAACAGACCACCAGATCTGCCCCGAGCCTTGGTGATCGTGTGCTGCTGCAGCTTCGTCTGATCTTTGAGGCTTTTGCTCCAGGCGCCACGATCCCCGGCTTTCTCGATCTGCTGGTAGACGCTCCTGCAAGGATGCGGCTTGTGGCGCGCAGGCCTTAGAATCAAACCCTAAACCTTTAGGTGATGCGCTGAACCCCGAACTCCGACACGCCCGATTCCGCAAAGCCCGAGGGTCACGAAGGCCACCAAAAAGTATAGGGTTTAGGGTTTAGGGGTTTAGGGTTTAGGGGTTTAGGGTTTAGGGTTTAGGGTTTAGCATGGGTGGATACCGAGGCCGCCAGTGGTGTTTCTAGGACTAGGGCTGAAAGCGCTGACAGAACTGACAATAGTTGATAGAGTTTCTGATCTCAGGGTCCAGGAATTTGGGGCAAAGTTGCGCGGGCTCTTGGTTTTGGGGGTCCTAAAAGCTAGGGGCCTAAACTTATAAACCATATCCTAAACTGCCAGCTGAACCCTACACACGCAAAACCGACAACCGCCACACTCACGCGCAAGACCGCACTCTACAGGTTCTAACCGCCCAAACCGTAAACCCCGAAGCTCCAGTCTAAAACCTAGTCCTATTGCTGTTGCGATGCTTATCATCATGATTCGTACTATTGCTATATAAATACGATTAATTACTAGCATTCTATTACTACTACTGTTTTCTTATCTTTATCATTCTTAACATTATTATCAGCATTCGGATTATTATTGTGAGTATTGCAAAGCCTACTGCCGAAGGTCTCAGACCTTGACCCTAAGCCCATTTCCGCCCTAATTTCATAAACCCCTTTCCTGAACCTTCCACGAGAAACAAATCAAAGCCTTCTCCCAGGAGCGAAGAGGACGGAATAGGACGAGGTTACACCCCAAAGCTGGACATCCGAACGTGGCGATACAGTCGGGTACATGTATAGGAAGCAAAAGCAAAGTCGAGCATCTGCCTCAAGCACCGGCATTTTTCATATTGGACTGCTTGGACCAATGCCGGGTTCTTCAGACATAAATTCATAACCCCCTTAAAGAAGACACCCCTCTGCGAAAGCCCAATGTCGGCCCTCCACAGCCCAAAGAAGGACCCCCAAAACTCAATAACAACTCCGGGTTCCGCATGGGTCACCCCACAGACTCAATCGAGGAGGAAAGAGCTATGCACGACTAAGAACTCAGGATTATCGGCTTCCTTTCGTAAAGCTAGGCAGACAGATAGATCAGAAGATGTTAGAATGAAGACACAAACCATCCCAAACTCGAGACATTGGCAAGCCCTGGAGGAACCCGGAACCCTAAACAGTCAGTACTCATCCGGTTGCTGGGGCACCTTGTGGTTGCTTCGAGGCGACTTAGTTTCAGCGCCAGTTGTGGAGCAACTGCCTTGAGAAGGATTTTCTCACCCACCTGCAGGAGGCTCACCGTGGTAATGCACTTACGAAATCCGATAGGACATGTCATGCATTCCAACATCGCGCAACTGCAGTGTAGCAAGTAAAACTGCGAAATAACAAGGTCAGATCTGGCATTCGCTGCCAAGTCTGGGACTTGACTTAGGGCTACACTCGCAAATCCTGGGCCAAACGCACCTTTTGACAACTAGCCCCGTACAACAAGCGAGTGACTGCCTGGGGTCGTTTGAGGGTTTCGGGTTCAGGGTTTAGGGTTACTATGATTACTAGTATTACTAGTATTACTTTTATTACTTTTATTACTAATTACTATTACTATTATAATTAGGGGTTTAGGGCCAGCAAGCAAACCCTTCAGGTCAGGACCTTCGGCTGTTTAGGAATGCAAAGCCCCAAAGAGGACCTGTCCAAGGCTATCAGACGGATTATCGGCGAAACTACTAACCGCACCAGCATGAGCTTCATACGTGACTTTGCAAACAACTTCGGATAAGTATGCCACATTGAACTGTTGAAAAAAGTATCTTTCTCTAGGGAGCAAAGGCTTTAAGGAGCTGTCTCTCTCTCTCTCTCTGCACCGTGATGATGTCGAGGCGGCTCTGCGTCAGCAGCGCATTGGCCTGAGTAAGGTCTGCAACAGTTGGACATCGTGACCCGAGGTAGGGCCAAGCTCGCCTATCATGGCTGACTTGACGGCAGCTATGGTCGTCAGAAACCGCGACGTGACAAGAAGTGCAAAGCCTATGAGCAACTGGGATGCATCTCGACAGCATCAAGATCACCCTACATCACTGCCCCAGCATATGAAATGCCTCCCTCCATGCGCAAAGCTCCCAGACACGCCCACAATCGCCCACACCTACAGCGAAACCGCCCTGCAACCTCGCGCTCTGAATCCTGAGCCGCAATGTTCCTACACCGCAAACCGGCCACGGGGCAAGATGTGTTGCTTGCGTCTTGTCAGGCCAACCAGCTCGTGCCAGGTCCTCTGTGCCGGCCAGTGGCGGTGCCGACAGAAGGTGTCAATAGATCAACGTCCCTCGTCTCTCTCTCTCTCTCTCTCTCTGACTTTATTGTTTATTCTCCTTCTTTTTGCTTCATTACGGTTTGCGCAGCAAGGCACGCCCACCCTGCCCCATGCACCCGCACTCGTCAGCGTGCGCGCTGTTTGGGTGCTTCCCGAAGGAATCCCAATGAGCATCTGACTTAGGTCCCCTGCCACCCACATCGTCGCATAGATCACTACCAAATCTCTACAGTGTTGTTTGCTTCTGGCAAAGACCCATGCCACATTGCATTTCGACCAGTTTTCGCCGTTCGAGGTTCGACGACACCACCGGCTTGCTTCACGTGCTGCAGGGAGGTTTGGCTCTCGCGTTGCTCGTGTGTTCAAGCTAGCTTCCCAATTTACATTCGTTGCACAGGAACTCGAAGTACCTCTACAGGTGCTGGCGGGTATATAGCTAGTGAGTAGGAGTAGTAGGAGGGGTAGGAATAGGAGTCGAAGTAGAAGGAGGCGGACAAGTAGGAGTGGGAGTGGGAGTTGTCGTCGTGGTGGTGGTGACGGTAACAGCAACAGCCCAAGCAGCAATAGAAGCAGAAGCTGTCGTCGCAATAATCATCATTACAACGAGCACAATACAGACACAAGAATGCCAATAGCGGCAACCGCAAACGTCACAGTAATCATCCCACCACCGACAACCACAACAGCATCCATTTGGCAGCAGGAACAACAATAGTCGCCAGTGGCAACAGGCAAGCGCGGCGACTTGCTTACACCCTACACTGCCCTACACCCTAGAACGCGAGACTGAGGGTTGAGGGTTTAAGGTTTACAGAACACTTGGAGCTCCTCCAAATAGACGCCGCCCGGGCGCTCTGAGATGAATTGGTAGAACTCCTGCAACAAACCAAAGATGGCTCTTGGGCCTTATGTTACTACTACGAATTGTGCCTACTATTGTTACCAGTTTGAGTAGTATCAGTATTACTACTTCTTACCTACTCTTATTGTTGTGCCTACTTATAAAAAACAGTATTCTTTATGACTACTACGACTACGTCCATTACTACTGTTATTCTGATCATTCTTGCTGTTGCTTGCACTATTCTTGTTGTTGCACTCATTACTGCTATTACTATTAGTATCTGTGCTTCCGGCAGGATGACAAAACGTGGATCTGGCCGCTCTAAGTTACTGGGCTGTGAATCTTGCAAAGAATCTGCGTGGACTTCCTGCACTTGGGTAGTTCTCTAAATTGGGGTCCCTTTTTGGGTTCCAAATATAGTGCGGCACCCTTATAAAAGGACCCAAAACAAGGGACCCTAATTTAGAGAACTACCCACTTGAGGGTTTAAGGCTCAGGTACTTTTCCACCTTCGCCACGACGTCGACTCCGAGTCTTTCGAGCAACCTTGGTCGATTCCGAAAAACCATGTCCCAAAACTTAACAATCCTTCGAAGGGTATTATTTAGGGTTTAGGGTTTAGGGTTTAGGGTATTTAACTCGTCTATGTTTCGGGCTCTGAACATATCTATCTGAGCTCGATGGGCCTCATCCAACTCTCCTACTTCCCCAAACTCCTGCTTGAAAAATGGGCCGCCGAGGTCTCAGGCTAGATGCCTGCGGGTCTGCAGCTGTTGTCTCAACTCCGACAGACCTGACACCCCCTGAGCCCAACCCTCCCACCCGAAATCTTGAAACCCGAAGCCCAACTCTGTATTTTAAATCTTGAAGCCCCAACCTCTACACCCTACACGCTGAGACTCTCAACCAAACCACCGAAAGCCCAATCCAGTCGTCCCTTTTCCGTGCTCCTCCAAGTTCGGCACCTACAGGCGATGTTGGATTCAAGGCTGAGGGCTTCGGGTGTTGTTAGGTTCGAGTCAAAGTTCCACAGAGTTGTGGCTTACTCGGGGGAGTTCCAGAGCTCTTCAGGTCGTGGGATGTGGGATGCCAGGCATTCCCAAGTGAGATGCCTGCTTGGGATAGTCTTGCAACGCTTTGAAGGGACACGCTTCGGAAGTCGTGCTTAAGCCTTAAACGTCGCGGTGTGGGGGTGGGATGGCGGCCTGGGAATGCCGGAAGCTGTTGAAGACTGTGGGTTCGAAGCCCCTTCTATTGTAGACCAACACTCGCCATATTGACACTTCATGGAAACCCTAAACCCGAACCCTATATCCTAAACCCTAAAACCCCTAAATCCCTAAAACCCCTAAACCCTAAAACCCTAAACCCTAAAACCCTAAGACCCTAAACCCCAACACCCTGAACCCTAAAACCCTAAACCCTGAAACCCAAACATGGCAAAATTCGAAGCGCCCCAAACGACCCTGGCCTTACACCGCTCAAACCTCGCCTGGAAGCCCCAAAGTACAAAAAGCTGCAAAACACGAAGCTTCACGGCAGAGTCGTTGACGTTGTACTATGGGTTTAGGGTTTAGGGTTTAGGGCTTTAGGGTTTTAGGGTTTTGGGGTTTAGGGTTTAGGTTTTAGGGCCATTTCTACGGCGCATGGCCATAGGCAAGTGGCTATCCGGGACCCTAAACTCGCAACATATCGATTCTGAAAGCTTTCGGACGAGGGGGCCTGCACCAGCGCCATTGCAACGGCAGAGACGGTGGCTGGTGGCAGGGCGTTCCAAGGTCGCGGGGGGGGTATGTAAAAGGTCGGAGTAGCTGGGCTTTGAGAACAAGGTCGAGGGCTCAGGATGCTAGAGTTGAGAGCTTTGCATGGCAGGCTTTGGTGCAGATGACAGATGTTCCGGGGCTGAAGCGATACGGCCCATCTTGTAAGCCTCTCGAAGTCTAGGAAGCAGAGTCGGGCTTCTAGCGAGCAGCCTGGGTTTGGGGGCCACAAGTCTAGCCAGCAAACATGAACAAATGGGTGGAGGGATGACTACTACTACTACGACGACGACGACGACGACGACTACGACGACGACTACTACTACTACTACTACTACTACTACTACTGCTACTACGACGACGACTACTACTACCCAGCAAACAGAAATCTCGAGCCGAAAGGACTCTCGAAGGCATCAGCCTGTGGAGAGGTCATCGGTGGTAAACTCCGGGGTCTCGAGTTCTTGCTTTACAGTAACATGGGCGTCTTAACAATTAGACTAGGGTTTTGGGATTAATTATACTATAACTATAATAAGGAACTCCCGAAATGGTATTGGTACAGTAGCCAGCATCCTGGTGGTGTAGATTTTAAGATCGTCTTATTGTGGTATATTGCTAGCTTCTCACCCCTTAATATTAAGCGGGTGCCTCCCCCCCCCCTGCCCCAATAAACTCGGAAAGCGTTTCTGTTTTTAGGGGTTATGCTTATCTCTACTGTGACGTTTATGGGATCTTGCTCTTGCTCCTGCTGTGGCTCTTGCT